ATCACCCTGTTAAGCAAATACGACAACCAGCGCCTGGTGACTGTTCTCCCTCTTGATAGGACATAGAATGCCACATCAGCTGTCAGGCAGTCTCATCACTACTTCAGATGGTGGTCGTAAAGTGCAAACCATCTCTTTCGTCTTCCCAAAATAAACCTGCAATAGGTAGATCAATGACATAACTTTAAATTCCAAAGATAAAATTCAAAGCCTTTATAAGCCCTACTGTCTAGCCACAACTGCAGAATGGTTCAAGTCCCTGTCGGACGGCTAAGTGGTAAATCCACTGCTTTCAGAAGGCATGGCTTAAGTTCAAGCCTGGGCTCAATACTTTATTGAAATATTGTATAGCTCAAACTGTAAAGCAGGATGTAGAGAGGTAAATCCACACATAACAGACCACAGTACCTGATCCAGTGAATTTCTCAGCTTGCTCTCCATTTCTTCGATCATTCTTCCCATGTTACAAAGATGACCTTCTTGAACTGAGAGGTGCATATTCATCTACAAAGCCAACAAGAAAGAATAGTTTATCCACCCCAGGATATCATACAAACAGTACATGAATGGTAGCATAGAAAACAAATTTTGGGTCATCATTTAAAGAACAAATCTTGTGCTTAATCTAAACCATCTCACCCTTAACACAATCAACAAAACATATTGAGGCTCTGTTCAATTCTACGCGCATATGGAGCAAAGAAAAAAAAGAATTTCGAACTAGCTTTGTTTTAAAGCATTTTTAGACCTTTTTAGCATTTGATTCCACTTGCTTTCCAAGAACCAAACAAAGAGTAAATGCATGTGGAAAAACTGAAATCCCTATTAAATGCATGTACAAGTAACATGAGTCCTTTTTCAAAAACTTGGGGGCCACATCATGGACTATTCTCTTCTAATAAGACGAGGTAATTCTCTACAATATAACTCCAATAAATAATCCCTTTACTTTCACACTGTTCTACCCCTGTTATATTATTTCCATTTATCCTCTTTTCCCCATGTTAGTGCATCTTTAGGTCTTCATCTTCAGTGCATATGACCAAAAGAATCTTATAAGCTACATTAGCACAGGAACCATCCAACCAGGCATTATTTCTCTTTTGGTGGGGAGGAAGGTTTCTCTTCCATTTTTGTTATTGATCTTTTTCACCCGAGGTTGGCAGGGTGGCGGGGAGACCTTAGGGCCACAAAGATTTCACAACACTCATTGGTGCACATTAAGTTCTTCCTCTCATAAATATCAAAAGAGACAGAAGATTTTCCATTACAACATTCAATAGCTAAAATGTGTATTTGTAACAACAAACAAGAGCAATAGTTCGCTGATAACAACTCCATCTATTTGAAACACGTTTATCACTTAAATGTCAAAGCCCAAGAGGCATTTAGATGGGAGACATACCAATCCATCCCAAACGGAAACAAAATCAAGTATGATTACCTGTCGTCTAATTGATCCAGACAAACTGAATGTGCCTGATGACTCATTGTCTGTAGTCAGAGACAGCATGACAGTGCTGGTTAAACGGTAATGGGATGTTCCTTCCTCCTCCGGACCCACCTAATGTAAAAAACGAAGTTCCCAGAATGATTGGGAGAATAAATGACAAACAAACATAATGAAAATTTAGTTGAAGTGTGAAAGGGAAGAGAGCGGCAGAACTACATGGAGACCCTCACCACAGGTCTATATTGGTCCAACCGTGACAAATGGAGTTTACCTCAATTACATGTATAGCATCCCATGCCCCCTCCTGCAGATAACCTCTGCGACCTTGACCTGTCTTGGAGCCGTCTTCATTCCCACGAATAATAAAAATCAGAAATAAGGAATATAACAGAAAAGAAGTTGATATTTATATCTGCTTGGAGATGGTTCAGGCAGCAGACCTTTTTTTATTAAAAAGCAGCCTACAAAACATTCGTTATCATCCTCCCACATGTAAACTGATGAAATTCCACCTTCATAATACCTACCAAATTACCGGTCAATTAAGCCGTGGTAAATCTTCAAAATGAAACAAATAAATGAACCATTATGCTAAATAAATTGCATGAGGATATTGTCTAGAAAATTTGGTTGGTTTTGAAAATTAGATAATAAGAAGAAAAAAGCATTGTGAAGGTGGTTAGATTATACAATTCAACGACTAACAACAATAACACAAGAACGAGGTAAGTAAAGGACCTCACTGGTCACGATAAATGGCAAAGATGTCGTTTGCTTCAATTTCAAGTTTCCTCAACTCTTCAGACGGGAGACTGCCGTCTTCTAATGGTGGATGATATTTATTTGACCAAGGTGATCTATATAGAAATATAGCAACACAAAAAAGAAAATACAAAGATTAGTAAGACAACTGATATTTATAGAATAGAACATAAAAGATAAAACAAAAAAGAAAGCCAAAAAATTAAACTGAAGATGTAGCCCCGGTAGCCGAATGCAAAATCAAGAGATTTTGTAAATTGATTTTGAATACTTTACAGAAGCAGAATCAAAGATAGAGCAAAAATGAAAGCAGCGGTTTGAGAGTCTGTGTGTGTGTGAAATAGATAGTTATACATGCATTTCATTTGCCATATCAATTATATCTGCATGCGTAACAAAAAGAAAATCAAATTATACAAAACATCCAGATTCAAAAATCAAGGCCAGATCTGCTATATCTAAAATCTCCCACAAAAATGCCACTGTTAAGGCCTATTAGATCACAAACCTAACAAGAAGTCATCAATTTTGACTGTTCACAGAACAAAGATTGGTGTTTTTACCTGTAAGAGTCTGCATCTCTATTATATTCACACAAAATGAACTCCTTCCCATACTCCACATCGCACAAAACCTGCTTTTGGGAAATCAGTGCAACACAGTGAGTTCAAATGCTGCTATTGTAGTTGTCATTACTTTTCTTTCTCGAATTTCAACAACCCATTTTTCCTTCCTTGACTAAAATGAAACCCTAAGAAGCTGGTAAGCCAAAGAGAAAGAAAAACTGAAAACTGAAAATTGGGTTTTGGCGTTAGAAAGGTGGATTTCTCGTGAAACAAACAGACGGACCTGGAGGGGCTGATCGACTTGAGAGAGGAGATCGGAGGAGTGTTGGGGCATAAGGGAGAGGAGGGCGGAGAGAGCCGTCTCGGTGTGCTTGGGAGGCATTCTCCGCATCAATCCCATCGCTGCTTCCATTTTTTGTTCCTTGGTTTTCTGTGTTTCCGTTTCTCAGGTGAGGGCTGGCTGGCTCTAAAACTCCCTCTGATATTTTTATTTTTATTTTTTATTTTTGCTTTTGCGTTTCCTTTTTTGATTTTGGGTTGTTTGTTTGTTTGGATGATAAAAACTCAGAGAAGAGAAAAGAGGCGCCTTGTTTTGTTTGACCCGAGTTTCCCTCGCGGGAACTACTCCATCACATACCCTCCTGGCCTAATATTTGTATTTATTTTTGTTTTTTTTATTTATCAATTTGCCAAATTGATATAATTTAGTCAAAATATTAAGTGCACCAATGCTAAATATCTCTTTAAAGTCTTCAATGTTGAAATAATATATAAGTAGTGATTAGGACAACTGTCCATGCATGCATGAACGACTTTCAACCGTTAATGCATATACAATTCACAAATACAACAACTAAGAACTACATATTTGTGCATGAAGAACTATCCTCAACATTTCTCATAGGGTTGTGACAGCTGCTAAGGAGTTTGAAATTCAAATTTATGGTCAAGTTTTTTACTTCATAAGATTTACAATGAACAACCCTCACGATAATTTGAAAAATTAAAAGAGAGGCATTTTCCAGTATCTCAAAGGGCTTGTAATTATGAAAAAAAATCTATGAAATCATTTAAAAAAACTCGTTTTCAATCATTATCATCGAAAAAAAATGTCACATCTATCTTTCGTATTTTGAATAATTTTCATAATTGAAAACTACTAATGATTAGTAAAGAGAATTTGTTTGAATTAATAATTAAAGGGTATTTTAGGAATAATAGTGGATGGAAAGATAGGATTGTGTTTTTTCAAATTTACATGGTAGGTGAGGAAATAAAATAATGGGTGGAAATAATATCACTCTAAACAAATTATGTGAATTCCACGTTAAAATCCGTAATGCAATACTTAAAAAACTAGATATAAATTTATTAGGGGAGGAATAGTTTATCCTTTTTCCATTCCTCTATTCAATATTCATACTTTTCCCTATTCATGACTTTTTAAACTTTGTTTAGTAAAAAACTTCAAGTGAAAACCGACTGCAGTGTTACTAATCATTTCTCCAACAATGATGCGTGCTATTGCTATAACTGATGTCTTCCACCTTCTTCAGCCTTTCAACCCATGCCATTTGTCATCCTTCAGCTTTATAGACAAAGAAAAAGGTGGCAAAACTTTTTCACAACAATGAAAAAAGTTGAGTTGATTGGACATTGCTTTCTGAATGGGGACCCAAAGCATCTACAAGGAGTCGGTAAAATGATTGGGCTTTGTGAGGCCTACATTCTTTGTCCATGTTCCTTTTTATCTATGTTATGCTAGCATGCTAGCCGTTTGGTGTAGAGTATAATCCCGCCAGCGAATGAGGGACCTAGTTTATAAATCTGTTCACGGAAAGTGATTTGGATCTGACTAGCAGTATTACATGTCAATCATGCATTGTGATGCATTCTAAATTTCCCACATGACAGTCCGTAATTGACTTGGAATACCGACACAATAGCATACTGAAAAGATAGTGATTTGGATCTGACTAGCAGTATCACGAGTCTATCATGCATTGTGATGCATAACTTTCCCAAATCACAGTAAGTAATTGAATTAGAATACCGACACAACAGCATACTGATGCAAAGTAGTTTTCCTTGCCACGAAGAGTGATTTGGATCTGACAATGGAAATTCCAAGTAGCAAAGGCTTGTGGCGGTTTAATAAATAAAAAAAGGCTACAAGGGATTGTTATACTCCCAGGTAGGTAGAATAATCAAAAGCTCAATGTGTTAAATGCATTCCCCCTAACAGAAAAAGTAACGAAAAAAATCGCTAGTAAGAAAATTACATTGATAACAAAATCATATAGCAACATTTATGCAAATGAAACAAATAATTTATCAATACAACATACTGCAGTTCAATGGTAGAATCTGCTATACTTTTGTAATCTCCAGATATAATATTAATGAACTCTTCAGTCTTTATGTCGTGTGTTTAATTTGGCACGTCTCTCTTCATACGATGCTGGGATCAATTCAAGCAGAGTTATGAGGCAGCATTAGAAATATTGGAAAGGAATTATGCTAGCAAGTAGAGAAGAAATAACATCGTCTGGATGCAAAATCATTTCATATGAAATTAGTATATTATCCTTATTTTTAAGATTTATTATCTCACTTGTTTAAAGTATTAAGGGTAGACTTGGCATTTCAGCTATAGTGCATGACAAAGCATCTTTTCTTCAAATTAGTATAGATGAAAGAGTACAAAACAGAAGACAAGGTGTCTGCTGGCATATAGGATCTGACTAGCGATCTCTAAAAAGTCATAAACAGCCATACAAAAATTGCATTGAAAATGAAAAGACAGCAAGAACAAGACTACACAGCTTTCGGATTGGATAAGATAACAGAGAATATTCCTCGAACTCCAGAAATACCAAAGCCCATGAGAAATCATGATAATCACATTGAACATTATGATCATGATACAATACACACAACATGATGTTATCTAGACACTCTTGACATTATATTAAGTACATAATATAAAACAAGCCACCATAAAGTATAGTGTAATACATTCCAGCTCTTTAATGAGGATGCAAACTTGCAAAAACATTTCATTTATTGTAGTGAACAGTTCTATGTAATTTTCAAAGATAAAGTAACACTTACGCTCAGTTGGCCGTGACATGAGAGGGACATGGGAAGATTTTTTCTTGACTGTTCCATTATCCAAGGATCTCTGATCTGAGAAAACAAAGGTCGTCTCAGTAAGAGATAAATATACAACAAATATTATATGGTTTATTGGAAATAATATGAGGAATATTGCTTTCAGCACCTTTTTCTATTGGCAAACAGCTCTGCAGAGCCTCGTGGAAGATTGCTGCTTTGAGATGATAATTTTGACATTCATTTGCCAAGTGTACACGCAAAGCTTGCATAGAATCTAGGAACACAAGTAAATTAAACATTTAGAAGTTGGAGAGTCATTGCAATTTGCACGGGCAGTTCTTAATTCAGCAAGCAATATTTGAGAGAAGAAAATGGATGTGACAGAACGTCAACACTCCAAATTTCAATAACTCGCAAACAAAGCATATGATGTATCAAAAAAGTACCTGACGAACAAGTGAAGTTGAGACCCTCAAATTCACAAGACTGAAGAACCAACGGGATTTCCGGGGCCATGCTGTATTGAGGTTTTCTGGGGATTCTGTCAGTATCCAATAACGCATCTATCACCTACAAATTAAAGCAGTTTGCCTCAGTTACACTCATGAGTTGAACAAAAATGAAAACTTAACGTAGAGACTGCATTTTGGAAACTGGAAAGCATTTTGAGAAATATGTAAGGTTTCATAAGGCAATTCAGAAAGCGTATGTGATAATGCAAGAGAGGCATCTGACTGGATGCAATTCGTTTGCATGTGTGGAAGCATGTTATTGATGTGTGATATCCAGATAACTATTCTGTACCAGTACAACTTTCACCTTTACAGTGTTTCTGGCTGCACCTCAGTTTTGTGCACATGCCAGGCTGATTGTTTTAAGAGATTCAAGAAACAAATAATTTTGAAGTAGTATATCTTAACAGCTTAAACAAGTTTGATATAAAAACTTGAGAACCCAATCAAGAAGACATTTGGTACGCACATCAGGAGATTCATGACCTTGGCCGATCAAGAATAGTACAGCAACCATGCATCGAACTTGGTGCCAGAGGAAAGCACTACCTTTAATTTTGATAGCCCAAAGCTGGTTCTCATCACACCTGAAAACAATTGCAAAATTATAAAGAAATACTCATGAAAGTCCATTCAAGAAAGTCTCAATACAGAAAATTCTTCTTTTGGGCATGTTGATAAGATTAGAAACTGAACTATGAGTTGAACAGATGACACCAAAGGCATAAATCGGAAAGTGAGATTCAGAAACAGCAAGAATCAAATCAGGTTTTACCGGAACACAGGTTTGAAATAGGTCAACTCCTAACTAAGAGATAGGAATTGAAGTCTTGTAAAAGAGAGCAAAGATCATGTAGCACTGAATTGAAGTCCAGAAACAACTTTCACACGTTAATTTAAACTGTCTAATCTAGAGAACAGTACAAAAGGATTTCGATGCTGTGTTTGTACCATGGTGGGGAGATGGACAATCACATCTTCTGCTCAAGGCAAAAGGCTGTGTTTGCACATGCTGCTTGCATATGTATGAATGTTGCCAGACAAAACCCGTAGGCTACACCCAACACACACATGGATGGAGGGGGAGAGAGAGAGAGAGAGAGAGAGATGAAATATTCATAGAACTTGAACAAATACTTGTGCCTCACTTGTATAATTAAGCAATTAGGGAAATGTGAATTAAGTCATTTAAAAAGAGAGAGAGAAAACAGGGTCAGAAAAATTATCTACCCATGTCAACCTCACATCACAAGGAGAGATTGCAAATGAAGTGACTTTCCGCCTATAGTTGTGTACATTTAGTGCATCCATTTTACAGAAGTTTCTGAAGTCATGCTCGCCAATAAATTTCCTACCAGCACTCTCCATAGCCTGGCTAAACATGAAGCAAAGAAACCAAGTTTCTCATTCTCTTAATTCCAATAAAAGGAGCACAAAATGTGATAATTGAAAGAGAAGAACTGCGCACCAAGAGATTCAGATTTTCTCCCCAAAATAAATAATAATACTCCCTGCCCAAACAGCTAAACCTGTATTTGACAAAGGAAAGCAACAAATAGTAATGCATAAGATCATTACAGTGAACTTTAAAAAAAAAAAAAGGGAAAAGAAAAAAAGAGGGTCAGTACAGTTACAGAATACAGCGAACTAGCCTCAACCATGTAAACATCACATATTAAAAATGAAAATATTGTCTTGCAGTTACACAGATGATGGAGTGCAGAACTCAGTTATCCTCAAATGAACTAAAATCTTTCCCCAACTTTGATCAAGACAATCATTGTTATCGGTCAGAAAAATACAAGACAGCTTATGCAAGGAACAAATCAAGACTTATTCACCCTCTTCATAAAGGGCAGGGTGATAGGCTACAAGATTTCATTTACCCCATGTAATACACCAACCATTAGAAGGCCTAAAATACCGATACCTTTTGCACATTAAAGGGAGCTTTAAAAGCAGCCCATCTTGTGAGCACATTTGATAAGCTAAACTTCACTTTTTCCATTAAGAAATGCCGTTTTATTGCTACAAGCAATGTGCCTCCAGAATTTCTGGCTGTGACGATTTGATAGTCAGGCATTGGCACCTAATTAAACACTTCGGTGCAAGCGTTATGCGAAAAGAAGCTCCAAGAAAATTTAGCCACGATTTGACATACACAAGAAAAATCATGGCATAACAAATGAAGCTAATCAACAGAATGTAAAGCCTCCTTATTTAATTGATCAGTGGGTGACAGTTATTAAGCTTAAGAATCATGATGCCGTTTTGAGTGCTCAATGATTTCTTAGGTCAATTTATACTAGATACTATAATCTAAAACATTAATACATATACTTCCATTTTGGGGTTACTAATTCACATGGTCCATGGGAAATTCATGAGAGCATAACTAGGTGGACAGCTGGCAGCCAGGAGTTTATTCATTCTGTATCTTAAAATGTACTAGTTTCACTAAAGAAATACCACCAAAATAAAAAAAACAAATACCAACTACTCAGAGGAGCTGTCCTCTCAATCGGTTTTTAAGATTAGTATTTTTCATTTCTAAAGAAAAGAAAAGCAGGACACACTGTATGATAAGTTCTAACAAAAGAAGTATCGAACAACATTAACATCTCAAAATAGTAGCGAAATGAATACAAGGTAGACAAACCTCGCATTGAAACCCAATGGAACAGGACACCAGCCAAAAACTCGAATATCATCCGGAAGGGCTCGATTCAACACCCTCACATAATCGATTTCACCTTCAGAGAAAAGCACGAAAAAAAAGGAGCATGTGTTATTCAAATGGAATGTGGTTAGTCAAAATTGATCTGAAACTTAAAAGATAGCTTGTTCTTTGCCATGCCGATCAACTTCGTTAATGGTGTGTGCCATGACACTTGGCTAAGCGATAGTGCCAAACTTTGATTAAAGCCTCAGCTAACAAAAAAGTACATTAAATTAATGTGGTGAACAATGCCCCCATCCTATTCTGGACATCATCCTACAAAGGCGGTGTTGTTTATTTGAGATAAAACTAGATTCTAGACCCCGCTTTGGGGGAAAGGAATTGTATATTGACCTCGTTTGCTAGTCTGGTGTTTGTATATGGTTTGCCCTAGGTGCTTTGTATGTAGTCTTAGGTGGACTGCTTGTGTGAAGAATGAAAGAAGAGAACGGGGGTCAAAGTGACAAGACACAGGGATCGTGTCGCCATCTGGACTCAGCTGAACAGTGCATACCATTTTAAAAAAAATGTCAACTATTCAAAGCCTGTCCATCTCCTTTTGTACTTCTTTTGTCTTTTCACTAAAGTTCTTATATCCTATCAAAAACGAAAAAGCTGCTAACCATATTGCTCTTTGAAAACCATTTTTCTCGAACCTTCATTGTTCTCACATGTTTCCTTGAGGTTTGATCGTAAATAGAGAGCGATCACCTGCATCAAATAATTGCAATATACTCAATAAATCAAATACATAGTTAACTTTGAAAATAAAATACAGACAAGCAGCAGCATGAGAGCTAGCATCAAGCAAGGTTCTTTTCTTCCTTTTTTATGAGGAAACAAAACTATCAAGCAAGGTTGCAAATATCTGATATCAGTAGTCTGTATTCCTTAGATAAAACCATTAGTCCGGATCTACAGATGGATCGGCAAAAAATAAAAAATGACAATAACATTAGATTAATACATGGAAATTTTGAATTAAACTGATGGAAATGTTAAAGCAATCAATAATTCACTAACCAAACATGTAAACTACATACGATAGTATATCTATTGTAAACATAAGATGTATAAAGGTAAAGCCACTTCACACCACTGATACATGACATTGAGACTTTTATATTATGTAGAGAAATATCTTTATTCCAATTTTTATAATAAACCTTGACGGTATGAGCTGAAGTTTATTACTAGATATTAAAAATAAAAAAAAAATAAAAAAAAAAAGTAAACCTTGATAGTGTAATGTAATGAATTTCCAAACACACATCAAGACTATGCAACTTACACTGGGCGTACCCTAATTATCTCATTCTTGGATGGATGATAGGAAAGGATAGAAAGACGCATTAATGGCAGGTGCATAACTACATCCAAAACTTCTCTACTTCCATGAGTTGTTCTCAATATTATCTGGACCAAAATGGTATCCCATCTACTGTATTTGAACCCCATAGGAACTCCTTTTGGTATTAGAATTTTATATGCATGTCTATCTTTCACTAATATATTTCCACTGTAATCCACATTTTCAATCTTGGCTTTATCTAGGATAGCAGTTGGGAATCTACTTCTAGCATCTTGAGCAGTGATGCTGACTTGAGATTCAGAAAATGATGCTAGAATAATTCAGTGTGACCCATTATTGAGGAATACACAAATGACAAGCATAAGAAAACCTCAAATTGTATACAGTTGTACCAATTTTACAATTATCAACCTGCAAAATTCAAATAGAAAGGTTTGGTATCAACTTACTTGCCCAACAGCAGATACTCCCTTGTCTGTCCTACCACATCTGGAGTAATGTGATTCCTTCTTGTCACCGACTAAAAGCCTTGTCTTTTCAAGAGCTTTAAAAATTTCAGACTGTATATTATCCAGAGTGTAAGATGAAGACAATACAGCATTAATTTCTGCAAATTACAATTAATTATATAAACCAATAGCTACCGTGCATTCAACTTTAAATATTGAAGGAAGTCTTATGGATGAAAATGCTATATTTCATATTCATACAAATGCAAAATATGTACAACAGTACAATATATAGAATGATATCGCTTATGAAATACCATAAAATATCAATACTGAGCGAAATTTTTTTTTTAAACAAATTTGTATACTTTAAAGTTTCAAAGATTTGTAGAGTTTAACTACATTTTTAGAGTACTATTACAAGTAGTACCATAACCAAGTCTAAAATGGACAACCGCAAGCATCTTTGAGGGCAAAAATGCAAAAAGTAAATGCTTTGAGTTGTGCTCAAAAAGAGCAGATCAATTTACCACAATGAAGATTCTGACATTCAATGTAACATACGTTGCTTATCTAGTTCACATTTCCATGCATATTTCAGGCACAAACTAGGAAAAAAATAATAATATGAGAGAATACCTCAATAGTTGGATCCATTTGTGCCTCTGCAGCAAAACCATAAAACCTGTAATGCAGAGTACGAAAGCCCTTAAACATTCCATTATCATTATGAAGGGTATTAGGTTCTTTCTAGCCTATCGATCATGCAATGCTGTTCTAGAAAGCTTCTTCGATAAAGTTATCAAAAATGTATCTGGGAGAAAGAAACTATTGGGATGAAAATGATAATACGCTCTTAAGAAGAAAATGAAACAGCCTATATTTCTCTACACCGCATCGTCTCTCAAATTCAACATTCAACTACCTTTCTGTTTATTGTTCTTTAAATTTCAAGACGTAATGGCGCCGGGAGGTGGGGCTGGGCTTGAAGATGCAGTGCTGGAATTTAAAAATAAAAATAAATTTCATCTTAGTGGCAGATTGTACCTCTGCCCAAAGTACATGACTTTCAGAGCAACATATCTCTTGCAGTGGTGATTCATGATCCTTGTGTCATAACCTGTGTACAAACAGAGATATTTAAAATTTGAATAACTACAATAAACAGCCATTAAGAAACAACATGAACCACTAGACAAAGAGAGGGACGGTGCCACGGAGAGGGAGAGAGATTGAAGGACTTAAGCATATATATATATATATATATATATATATATCTTGGCATCTGGTAGAAAATAAAAATTCTTAATTTTAATTTGAAAAGGAAAAATCAAAGGGAAAACCTGGCACTTTCTCTTTTACTATCTCCTTGGTGATCTTCTTACTTCCAGAGTTTGATTTCCTGCTTGTCTCCAGTGAACTATCACAACTTACAGCAGAACGCTTGTCCTCTTTCTGCATCATAACATGTTCATTTTCACAAAACCAAAAAGATCAAACAAAAAGCCAAAATGGAAACACCAAGAAGGAGATTTTCATTTCTTTTTCCCTTCAGTAAAACAGTCTAAGGTCCTGAGACAAACCTTTTTTCCGGCTAAAAGTACAATGCCTTTTTTCTTTTGAGTTATGCTTCTTGTCTAACAGAGTTTGTTAAGTTTAATCCCTTATTTAATCAACAGTGTCCCTACTTCAAAGGGTCACTCTACCTTTTTGAAAAATTACCAGTAATATCCTTGTAATAGTCAAATTACTAAACATAAAAACTGAAATGTCATCCCTTTGAAAAAGGTATATCAACAAATAGAATAACCCACCTCATGACAGCGACAGTTTGCAAGTTGAGATGAAAACTTGGCATTCTCAGCCTCTAGTTCCTGGATTTTGATTTGCAAACAAGTAAGTATAACTATGCATTTGTTAACAAATGTTACTTTGGCTAATTCTGGGAGTATAAGAATTACCAGAAAAGACAACTAAAACTAATGTATTAGAAAAACATTGGAAGTGGCACCTATTAGTAACACAGAAACTATCACACCCTTATCAGCACCTACAACCAGAAGATAGAAGGTAAAAGACCAAAGATGCCGCCCAAAACTACTTCTTTGAATAGAAAACAATTACAGTTTAGGATGGTTTTATTTAAACCATAACTCGCTCAGTTGGGACCCCTTTTTTCTATGTCAATCTTTGATCAAAATGTTACCCTTGAAATAAAAAAAGGGGAGATGCAAATTATTTCTAAAGGGAAAAAACTGATCTCATAGCAATGATTAAAGGCTAAAATTGCAATATCATTAAAATTCTACACCAAATTACTTTCTCTTGTAATGACACTAGACTCTCTCCTTTTGTGTTTATTGTAATATTACGATATTAGGGCCATTCCTCACTAACACGGTAACACCTCCTTATTAGCCTTCTGTTCCTATGATTTTGTAAACCTTCTTCTCATGTCCCAACTAATGATCTTCATGATAGTATCATCTTCCTGCCTGGCTAAAACTACTCTTCCCATAATTGATCTCCAACTTTGAATTTTCGAGCTCTCTTGATGCAGGACAGCGGATATAAGCTGCTGTCCAGCGACCCAAACATACCCAAAATACAGAGAATAGAAGGATAAAGTAGTAGAATCGAAGTTGGAACGAAGATAATTGAGTTCTAGGGCAAAATCCCAACAGAAACTCCATAGACTAACGTCTGAAATTATATTTATCAACAAATTTATACTAGAATACAGAAAACCTAATTGACATAGGAAATTAATCCAAATCCTAGTAAGAATAGGAAAACAAAAAGTAACTAATCGAGAGGCTAGGTCTTTTGGGCGATTCAGACGACAACCAAAAAAGAAGAAGAAGAAGGAAGAGAGAACCCACCAGCAATCGCCGTCGCACCCATCGCCGTCGCCATCTCCATCTCCATCTCAGATTCATTTGGTTGGGTAAGTTTACGCAGGTCAAGGTTTTCTTCTTATTCTTTTAGTAAGTTGCTGTGTTGTTAATTAGATTATTGATAATATTCTTTAGGGTTTTTAACCCTAGACATAACTTTGCCTCGAGTTGCAATTGGTCCCCAAACTATTAATTAGATAAATAGTTTCAATTGGGTATTATCGTTCAACTCTGTCAATTTATCTGTCAAAGTGAGGGGGTAAAAGCGTCCTTTTGGGTTCTTCATCCATCATTGACCCCACTCCACCTTCTTCATCCATTATCAACCCTAACAACTCTACCTCCATCTTCACAAGTTTACAATACAAATCCACAAAGAAAAGGCGAAATGGAAAAGGAGAAGGTTTACTTAAGAGTAAGTAATTAAAAGGACTTGAACAAATTTAAGATTCTCTTCTCTTCTGCCATTGTGGAGTAAGAGTAATAGATAGAAGGATAAGCTCGCTCAAGAATCTCTCTTCCAAAACGGCAGCCACACCCACCCCTTCTTATTTATCAGATTTTTGGCTTTGACTAATTCAAGATGAAAAATGGGGTTGGCTAAAAAGGGGGGGAGAGAGGAGTGGGGTATGCTCACTTCTGCATTTTTGTTTTGGTTATTGAGATTATTAATCTTTTTAGTGGGGAGATTATCAAAGAAGATTTTCCTGCCAAATTTCAAGCCATTGAGAGACTCGAGGAGTTAGTGGGGTAGAGGAGGAAGAGCTCCCTAAATTGGTCATAGAGGTAGAGCCCATTTTCATGATTGTCATTTACAGCCCATTCATGAATGTGATTGATGAATGCATAGATTGACATGGTTTCGTCATTTAGTGGTAACGAGTGGAGTGCATAAGCCCCTTTAGAGACAAGGGCGAGCAGCAAGCAACTCCTTGTGTAAGGTTCCAAACATAGCAAAATTCCCTTTTGGGCCGAATGTGTAATCTAGGCAACGAAAAAGGGGCCCGATACTTCAACTAGAGGAGCGACCCCAACCCACCCGCAACCCCTGCTTTTGCTAGCATCATAGCAAGCACGGATTGGCCTCAAAAAGTCAACTGAATGACCGAAGCATCGGTTACTTCCAATTGCGGCCTTCTTTGACTGCCTTGCTTAGAGCAAGCACCAAGCAAGACCTATTTCATTTGACGTTCGGGACGGGGAAATGAGTTGTAGGTTGGGAAATGGGGGCGTGGGTTGCAGGTTGCGTTGGGATTTGGGTGATAAGGAGGGGGGAATGTGTTGCGAGAGAGAGGGAGAGACAAAGCAAGAGAGAGAGAGAGAGAGAGAGAGAGAGAGAGAGAGAGAGAGAGAGAGATTTGGAGAGAGAGGAATTTGGATTTTTATTATTTATTTATTTATTATTTTAATTTAATTATTATTTTTCACTTTTTTCAGTTTTTTTCTTCAATTTTTAAAATTTAAAATATTTTAATTGAAATGGACAGTTTTAGCCCTCAAATTAACAGCCAAATTGACAAAAGGACTCAATTGGAACGAATGTGAGAGTTGGATGACTTAATTGCCTCAAACAAAAGTTCGAGAACCTAATTGCAACTCGAGGTAAAGTTTAGGGACCTCTACAGTTAAAACCCCTTAAATAAGCTATTGCATGATTAATTTGGTATATGGGTAAATATTTGTAAAGTTGGGTAAAATGGACTTGTATTTTGGAAATAGCTGCCTAGTAGCCTACTAATTGTTTTGTATATGTATGTATTAATTGTTTTTTTACATATTATAGTATGGATGAAATATCAATTTTTCTATTATATATTTTTTAATATATATTATTTTAATGTCGTATCTGATCGGTGCATAATTACATATCATTTTGTACCCTTCTAACTTATGATTTGGTTATGTTTTTTTAGTTAAACTTGTACTTTTAATCTCTTTTATCTTTGTTTCAGTGTATTAAGCTTTGTGACTCATTTAATACATTTTGGAGTCAAGTGAGCTCAAAACTATGTTTGCAAATCAGTCAACTTCACAGATTGGATTGTACTTGCTTAGGAAGAACCAGATAATTAGACATACATCATTGGAAAGATACGGAAGTCTAGTTTCTAGAATATTTTACGGTTCATGATTCCGAGTCTTCTAGAGGAAGTTATGCAAGTTTTGGCAGCTTAAGGTCAAATTCGGCAGCATCTGCGTTACTGGGCCAAAAATGACATTTGAAGGTCTTTCCGATTTTTCCTTGAGCTTGGCTGCATATGTTTGGAAAGATAAGACAAAGAAATTCAAGATCCATATTTTTCTAGATTTTTTAAATTGGAGGAACAAGCCCAAAACAAACCCAAAAAAAGACTGCAATGCATTGTCATGCATGAGATAATTGTTTGTGGTGGGAGTTGTTAGTGAAGTTTTGCAATAGCCAAAAGAATTAAAAGAAGATAAAGTGGGAGCTGCAACACTAAGCCTAAAGACAAGAGAAATTGTTTTCAAATGCAATTATTTTCTGAGTTCTACTTTAATTTTCTTTGTAATGTAATTTCTTATTTTAAGTTTTCAAGTTTGATTAGTTTCCAAGTTTCAATTATGGTTTTTGTTCTTATTCATTATGATTATAAGTTAATATGCTAATTTGAATGATTGATCACCATTAAGGCTTGCATGTTAGCTATCTTAGTTTGAATTAAAAGTAGACATCATGCTTTAATTCGAATTGAACTATGAATAGGAAGAGTATGTATGGACATTCAACAAAAGGATTAGATGCATACTTGGTTGTTTAAAATGTTCTTCTTGGCTTAATGGATTCCTAATGCTTAATTTTAGGTTAGACAACAAATGATCAAATTAGGCAATTGGGAATACAAGGTTAGAACCAAACAACATGGCTTAATCATACTTTAGCTAGAATCAATCCGTTAATCTAAATTGAACTTGGGAACTTATTTGCTTGAGTTAATTTCTTTTCTTTCTTTCTTGTTTTATTTATTTCTTTTCTTTTTCATTTCTGTTTTGTGTAGGAAAATTGAATTGGATCATTCAATCACCAATCTCTGTGGAATCGACCTTGCACTTACATATGTTATACTACCGAACGGCTCGTGCACTTGAGAGTATCACAAGTTGAGGATACAGCTAAATTCATTTTGGTGCAGCTGAATCGACGCAACAATATCGAGGCTGTACTCGTATCCTACTTTTTGGAGATTTGCCGTATCGGCGTATTGTATAGTATCGTATCGCCGTACCCGTATCCATATTGGTGCAACATTGGTTGAAACTGAATTCTTCATTTCCAAACAAAGAGGTATTTTGAATATAGGACCATTCTTGAACACTTTGCATCAATTCCACCGGATTGTGAAGAATTTGTCCTCAAATTCCAACCTTTTGTTGAAAACTGTCCAAATAGAACCTCCACTTACATAAACTGTCTATAGAACTTTGGCCTTGAAATTGAACCTTCCCACTCCAAAGAAATAGATACTTAGAATATTTGATCTTTTTGGACCAATTCCAGTTATCTTTAATAGACAATCTCGCAGCCCAAAGAACCTTTAATCCAAAAGATAGTACATTGACTAGATTAATGAAGCTCTTGGCAATTTTCAAATTAAAAGCATCAACTCCAAGAAAATCAACATGCTCAGAACTATCAATTTCTAAACCATCCACTTGGTCTCGAAAATTTAGTGTTTCTTTATCATCTTCAACAATGCCTTCAAGACCCCCTTGTTCAACAAATTTTCAAATGATAGTTTCTCTTTACTATCACTAAATACTTTAACAAAAAATTTCTCCACCCCAAAACAAATTTCACAATTGTCTTCTAAACAACAATCAAATTCGGGAGCGAACCACTCCTTCTAATCTGCCTCTATGACCATCATCATGGTTTCCAGCTTCATGAAAGGGGTTTACCTTTTCTTCAAAGTCATCCTTACAACCACCTTCCAGTATGTCTAAGGGTTCGCAGCTATGTTCCGGAATCTCCATATGCACATTCGCGCATTCCTGTTGTTGGAGGGCTTGCACTGCTCTCGATAGCTCTTCCATCATTCGCCACATCTCAACCATCTCTGTTTGTTAGGCTTGGTTCCTTCGTCCACAACCTCAAGCACGTTCAACCATGGCGTGGAACAAGGATTAACCTAGGCTCCAATACTAATTTGATGAAGGGCAACGACTATAAGCTGCTGTCTAGCAACCTAAACATACCCAAAATACAGAGAATATAAGGATAAAGTAGTAGAATCGAAGTTGGAACGAAGATAATTGAGTTCTAGGGCAAAATCCCAGCAGAAACTCTATAAACTAACATTTGAAATTATATTCATTAACAAAAATTGCATACAAGAGTCTTTAACTAGAATACATAAAAACTAATTGACATAGGAAATTAAAAACCTAAACAGGAAATTAAGCCAAATCCTAGTAAGAATAGGAAAACAAAAGAAGTAACTAATAATTTAAAGTAAATAGAACTCTAGCCCAATTGACTGACGAGCCTATGTAATCTTAGAGAGCTTCATAGATGCTTCTACATCATCTCTAATCCCCATTTTACTTGGGGTGGAAATCGAGTCAGGACATGTAGTGGTGTCATGTCATGTCATTTCATTTCGTATTCATTCCAACTTATAGTCAACTCTAGCTAACCTAACCTATTTAATTAATCATGTTAAATGACTCAACTTTAAACCAAACTCGTTTTGTTAATTGTGTTGTGGTCGGGTTGATCCACATAGATTCTCAACTAGAAACTTAAGGCTAAGTTCTGTTTATTTCTAAGCCAAAACAATAATTTCTAATCCTCCATAAGATAAAAATAGAAAAATTAAATATTAGACATAATAAACTTTACTAATTAGTATGTGAGATATTGGGTATTTTGGTTTTGGTTTTAATACCTAGGAAAAAATTGCTATTTTAGATTAGGCCAAAGAGGAGGCCCAGATTCATTGAGCCAGCTTAAAAATAAGAACTGATTAGACAATTCAACCATTCTTCTTAAAAAGCTTCGCCCATCTGTAAATCTACAAATTAAATGACGCTTTTTACCCCTGAATGTTTAAACTACTCGCAAGCTTCTCTTTCGTTTTCGTTAGTTTTCTTTTTCGTTTTCGAAGCTGTGGTTGTGGATCTGCCGTTGGAG